AGCGACAGGCATTGCTTTCGATCTGCAGACTGCTCAGAAAATGATCTCAAATGTACAGATTTTGCTTTTAATAGGTTTCATGCTGCAGCAGTCGGTTTAATTTTTTTAAGAGTAACAAATCTCCTTTCATTTTTATCAGATCCTTTTTTCCAGATAAAACGTGAAATGTCGACTTTGGAATCAAAGGGCAGCGAAATTGCTGGTGTCTCTTTCAACTTTGACTCGCCGTCTGAAATTGCAGATGTTTGTCAAAAAAATTTTTCAAATTTCATTTTCAGCCATGAAACTTTTTGCAATCACAGACTGCAACAAGTCTCAGATGATAAGATTAGTGCAGTAAAAATGCTTGAGGTTTGCTCCGGCAGTTTTTGTTTCAGCTTGAAAAGATTTTTAAATTAAGGTTCTATTTGTTCGTTTGAAGTTACCTCCAGTTACGGGTGCATCGAGAGCAGCTAAAAGGCATTATTCGACGAATAAAACTGTCTTGCAGAAATTAGCATCTGAATATGAGATAGCAGATACAATATTGAAGTGGCGTCGGATGAACACAGCCCTTTCGGTTTCTATATGTTATTATTAACTTATATTTTAAAATCTTAACTTCTCAGTTGTACTATTTTTATATTCTATTTTTAATTTGTGCCTTCCCCTCTTTTTTCCTCATAATTCTTGAAACTCATGCAAACCCATTCACTTACAGATGTCTCTTAACACAATTATTAAATTCTGTTTGGATGACGGTCGAATTCATGCGATTTTTACACCGTACACAGTCACCGGAAGAGTTCAGTCCACTCATCCAAATGTTCAAAATGTTCAGAAGAACGAAGTTTTTAATGGACTTTCTATACGTTCATTATTTGCCGCTCCACGTGGTATGTGATGTGAAGTCAAAACATGTATATTTAAATCTGTTATTTTATTATCAAAGCTTATTGGAGGTCTTCTCTTTAAATCTGTGCAAAAATATTCCTGTCGTATTTTTTATTTAAAACATTTTAAATCCTACTAATTTACCACAGGTCGTATTTTGGTTGCTGCAGACTACTGCCAGCTTGAAATGCGAGTTTTAACTCATTTTACATGCGATAAGAAGCTTGTTGAACTGTTTCTTTCCGGTGGAGACTTCTTTCAAAAAATGACAGACCAGTGGAACGGAAATTCTTGTTTGCCCATTAAAGTTGACAGGCAGAAAGTCAAGCAGGTGCATTGATTAAAAAGTTTTAACCTTGCAGTACTACCGCTTCGCTGCCTGCCGTAATACTTACTTCTTTGGCATTGTCGTCATAGATGATAGATTTCATCGGCTCCACGACTTTTTGCCAGTTTTACGTTTTACTAATACTTTTGACGCGTCATAACTGCCACCTATTGTTCTTTTACTAAGGGAACTACTTCAATGAGTTTTTAACCTTAATTTCGGTCTGCAGTTGTGTTACGGACTGATCTACGGTATGGGAGCCGGTAGTCTCGGCGAACAACTAGAAATAACAAAAACTGAAGCCCGAAATATGATCGAAGTTTTCTTTAAACAGTTCCCAAGTAAGTATCTTTGTTAAACACGCATCTCCACTCCTTGCACTATAAAACACGGGACTGTATCCTGCAGTTTTATTCCTTCCGGGCGTTCTTTAACTCATGAGTAACTTAGTCTTCTAGACCTATTTCACGTAAGATCACCACCTCGCTCTTCTAATTTTCTTAAACAGTCATACCTACAATTCTGACTTTTGTTTGGTTTTCCAGAAGTCCGCTCTTGGATTGACAAAACTGTCGAAGACTGTCATCGGAAAAAAAGTGTGCTTACATTGTTTGGCAGGAAATTATGTTGTCATGGTGCTGGTCAAGGCGACCAAGCTGCAGAAGCCAAAGTCGGTCGAAAAGCTGTCAACTACTTGATACAGGTTAGCTACCATTCAGTGCGGGAATCATCATTGAATCATCATTTTTAAGTGTCTAAACATTTAACAAGACCTAACTTTAAGGGAACAGCTTCTGAAATTTTCAAAAGCGCTCTGGTCAGTATGGAGGAAGCTCTGAAAAGTAATCTTCTCCCTAACTTTTTTTTAGATGCCCGCTTTAAACCTGCTGTCATAGACCTTGTCAACGCGTTGAAAATCTTGATTTTAGGTAAAAATGCAAAACTGGTGATGCAAGTCCACGATGAAGTGATTGTGGAAACGACAAATGAAGACCTCGAGGAGGTTATTAGGGTAATCAAAATTTGCATGTGCACTGCTCCACCAGGTTTCACCGCTCCATTGGCCGTAAAAATCTCTACTGGGCACTCCTGGGGAGAACTGCGTGAATTTTGTCTCTCAGGCCAAACTGTATGCTCATAGCAACTGTTCGAAAAACTTGGAAGACTCTTGTTGCTAAATGATTTATAATTTAAATTTAGAACGACATCTCACGATGGTGACTTACCATGACAGTAATTGACCACCACATTCTGTTTTCTACCTCATAGAACTGAAATATTAGTAGAAATCTGTTAATCTAAAAAGACCTACCAAAGAGTAAAAGAAATAATTAACTGCTCATTTCCCTGTGATCTCCAAGCTTGTGATCTATTACTTCTAGATGTCATTATTCTTTCAAAATTCCTCTAATAAACTAAATTTTTTTGTTCTTGTATCATTGTTTAGCACTCGTCAAACCCTATTATCCTTCTAAATTCCATCCATCCCTGAATAACTTCTCCTACATCACCACAGGTTCCTTTACTGCCGTACTGAGCTGGTATAACAATGTTGGTGACAATAGAGAGCAAGACCAAAATTCAAATTACTTGGCAAAAACTTCACCGGAATCATATCACTTCAAAATCGATGTTCTTCTTTACTGATCAAAAGCGCAATTTTTACTTTTAAATTTTGAAATACTTGGAACAGGCAACTGAAACTACGAGTTCTATACAGGTGTACGAAAACCTAACACTAAAGTGGTCTTAAGAAGTCTCAAGACTACACGGCTAATGCCAGTCGTCGGTGAAGGCTTACAGCTTGCCTTCCGCTTCTAACCTGGCCTTCA